TGGGAGTAGCGATATACCGAGAATAGCAAACCAACTTTTGAACAAGACAAGAAGACGTGCTCTGCTGGATACTGTGCTGCATTAAAGCTCCAGTGATTGCCACCCGGATCTTTCCCTACAAATCGGCTCCACCTCCAGTGTTCCCCGCGCAAGCCCCCAACCTTGGAGTCGATCCTGACGCTCTCTTTTCTCTTAAGCCCTGAAATCCTTTGTCTCTCTCTTCACCCTCTGTGGAAACTCTGACCCTCACTTTCCCTGCTCTCCACCACCCCGTCTCCACCACCTGTCCCTGTGCCGCATATTACCTGCCCCCTCTGCGCCTGCCTCCGGCTGCTGCAGCCTGCTCTCAGCAGAGGACAGCCGGGGGCCGCTTGTAAACCCTAAATCACGTCATCCCTGTCCAGCTCCAAACTCCACGACGGCTGTCCATTTCACCGGACGGCGAGTCCTCGCCACCCTTGGCCCCCGCGATCTGGCTCACTGATCCGGGTCCCACCGCTTCCTTTGCTTGCGCCCCTCAGGCCACACCTGCCCTTTCTGTCCCTGCAGCTGCGCAGGCTCCAGCGCGGCGCGGCGCGGCCCTGCCAGTGTGCGGAGCTGCCTCCAAGGCGCTGTGGGTTATTTTGAGCTGGGGTCAGTCAAGGCCAGCTCACAGGAAAGTTCTCCACTCCCTAACTATGTTGAATGAAAATTGGGGATTTGACCCAGAATTAGGATTTTTATCAGAAATAACCTTACTGTTAGAGAACACTCTATGGAAGGGAAGCATGTAACCCTAGAACGTCTGCTCTGGTTTACGTGAGTCCCCCTTCTCTGTCCTTGAACCCCATTCCTTAGCTCAGGATACGCATCCCCCCTGCACTGTGCCTCTCAGTCGCAGGGAAATCCACAATGATGTGGGTTCCCCATTTTCCCACTAATCTCTTTTATATCACTTTGACTGCTTGGCTCGCCTGAGAGACCCCTGAGGAGTGTGGGGCAACACCCGCTCCTTCCCTGCAGTGCCTTGTTCCCTGTAGTGTTCCCCACACCCCAGATCAGGCCACCTCCTCACCGCCTTCAAGGCTTTGTTTGAAGTTTCCATCTCTTTGCGGTCCATGCTGGACCCCTCCCCGACACTCTTGGTCTCTTTGACCCTGTTTTTCTTTTCTTTAAATAACTCTTTTCACCTTTTAACTTGCTATACCATCTACTTATTTCTTGTTTTTATTGCTTACCAATAAAAAAGTTCTTTCACTGCTGGGGTGTAAGCACTTACGAAAGGTTCAGCTCTTCGGTCTGTCCACTGTGAATCCCAAGTATAGGTACTTGGCACATAGTAGGCACAAGAAGTAGAGCGCTTCTTGGCACATAGTAGACACTCTATAAATATTTGCTGGTAAATGAATGATAAACAGTATGTTTAGTGTGCAGGAATAGAAGAATGAAATGGAGAAAAGATGGATTATTTGGTAAATAAGAATTTATTTTGGATACATGCTTACCCATAGAGACAAAAATTTAATTTGAATTCCTACCTCATGCAAAAAATCATTTGCAGATGGAGTCACAATGTTAAATGAAGAACAAACCAACACTTCTTCACATATACGATATTATCTTTACAACCTTAATGTAAGGAAGGACTTCTCATGCCAGATGCGCAAAGAGCGCAAATTACAAAGGAAAAGATCGAGAAGTTGAGCCACAAATAAAAACTTAAGCATCTGTACGGGCGGGTGTTGGTCAAAAGCATTGGACAAACTTCTGCTTACAAGAGGAGTAAGTTTTGGATTATGATACTCGGTGTGGTGAGTACAGTTAATAAAATTGTATTACATACTTGAAATTTGATGAGAGGATATCTTAAATGTTCTTAGGGAAAAAAAGTAATTGTGAGGTGATGAAACTGTTTAGAAATCTTAAGGTGGTGGCGATACTTTGGCAATATATATGTGTGTCAGATTGTTACATTGTACACCTTAGGTTCTCATGATATCATGTCAATAATATTTTGATAACACTAAAAAATAAGCTAAAAAATGGACATTCTGCTACCTATGGTTTTGCCAGAGACTGGAATCTGATTATATTGAGCTGCAAATTTGCAGCAAATACTGCATCTAGAGGAAGACATCAAAATGTGCCACAGAAGGCAGTTAACAAAATCTAGATTATGGGCAATAGCAGGTCATGTGACTCATGTTCATCAGTAAATAAATGGAAAAGAGGGGAGAGCAACAGATCGAAAGAACTTAAGGACCAAATTTGAAAAGATGAGCAAGACCAACTTATAGTATCAGGATGAATGCTTGACTCATAAAGATATAAAAAAAAAAACACAAACAAATGATTATTTGAAAAGTCAGACAGCGGTTACTTTGGGGATAAGGAAGGGGTTGTGAGTGTGTGTGAAATGGGGGATTTCTAGGGCATATGGCAAAGCTCTGGTCTGACACAGGTGGTGTGTACCGGGGCGTCCACCCAGGAATGATGCACTGAGGATGCCTCTGCCTTGTGTGGCTTTCCTGTGTCTGTGTTTTATTTGATAATAAAAGGCTAAAAAATAATTTAAAGGAAATAGCGGCTGCTGTGTCTTTGATGATATCCATTTTGATTACTGGACTCTTATAAGTTCTGAGAAATTCTGCCATAAATAAGTCTGTTTTCTTTGCACACACACCCACATGTGTGCACGCACGTGCGCACACCCACACATACTCAGAATAAGAGAATGCTTCAAGGAGGAGTTTTATTCTTATAACAACTGCTAGTCAAGCGCCTTTCCAGAACTTTTGACATGTGCTGTGTACCAGGTCTGTGTCTTTGCGCAGGTGGAGCCCGGCCATCTTCTCTCCATCAGGGTCTGTTCAGAATCTCTGCTAAACATCAGAAGGGAATTACTTATCTCTCTACTTCCAGCAAATTATTTGTTTGGTTTAGCCAAGATCAGTTTAAAGTTTGAAAATCTGTACCATGAGGATGATGGTCTGAAGAGCGAGGCCCTCTGAGCGGGACTCAGCCTATGTAAGGAGCCAGCGTCGGCCCTGCTAGTTCCCTGCGGCCCAAAAATAACCTCACTCACCGGTCACTGAACTTCCGCACTCCAGGGGCTGGAGCCGCCCCACCCCACCCCCTGGCCGCCTTGACTCCCGGTGCAGCGCCTGGATGTCTTGGGGGCCTTTTCTGTTCAGTAGAGCTGACAGCTGGCTTTTCACCCTTTCTTGTCCAGCAAGTCCATTATCGATGGGTGACGGGTAGTTTTGTGTATCCCCTTCACGGGCTAAGGGATGCCCAGAGAGCTGTGAGGCGTTGTTCTGGATGCGCCTGTGAGGGCATTTCTGCATGGTTCTGTTCTTGTGGCGAACTCTGGCTAATAAAATCCCTACATTGCAGGAATGCAGTGACATTAAATTAACAATGGATCTTTATTCCAGAGACTAGAGGATACTCAATTTCATACATACTCAATAAATACTTATTTATATTAAGTTGCAGTAAGCCATTCACTTGTAAACAAAGAAGTGGTATCGAAGGGAATATAGCTCAATGATTGCATTGGCTTATGGGGTTTTTTTTTTTTAGAAATTTTTGTTTTCCTTTAACAACGTGTTTGTATTTTTTCATATTTTAAAGACGTGACCCTATTACACACAGACTTGAAAAGTGAGAAAATATTCCAGTACTTTCTGCACTGTAATACAATCATAGTTAGAACTTTGTCTATCTCCTCCTAGTCTATTTTGGTATGAATTTTTTTTGTAGTTGTAAAAAAATACACATAGAATTGTGTTTTCCCTAAGTAACGTGATATAGTCATAGATGTATATTTACAAGTTGCGTTGTCATCACAATGATGTTTTACTGCGTTAGGTTTCGTTATTTGGCTCTATAATGTTTTGAGCTGTTAGCCTATTTTTGATTGGTGTATTTCCCCTCATATTTGAGCAAATATATTTTTGTATAATGTATAATGCTTTTTGGTTATTGTTGCTCAGAATTTTTCCAGTAGAATAGTGAAATGTCAAGTATTTCAGAAAACTTCTCATTTTCCTCTCAGCACCGTCATCCACTCCAACAACCTAGCGACTGTAGAAGGTGGAGGCATCTATTAATTTGCTAACTGTCGTTCTGTCCTCGATCTTACTGACGGGTGACGGCATAAAACGTGGGCGCAGCCGTCGTCCTGTTTCCATGTGGAAACTGGCCACAGAATAGCCAGGTGGCCAGTTTAGAAACTCTTGGTAGAAAGCAAGGATGCCCAGGAGACTGTGCCATGGCGCCTTCAGCGTGTGGAGGTGCGTGTATCCCTGGGTCTTCTTTTCCATCCTGCAGTCACAGGAGCCCAGGAACTGCTGAGAGGAGCCGTGTGTGAAGGGGTGGAAGGAACGCAGCTGGTGTTGCTGAGCGCGCCGCCCGCTCGCCCCTTCTCTGTCTGCTTTCTTCATGACCCCGGGACTCACAAAGGTGTTGTTGCAGCGGGCAGGCGCTCGTCACGTCTAACTTTGTAGTGACTTCACATGCTAAAAGAACGGAACACACGTGAAATTGTTAGTTGAATGCTGCACCAATCTGCGATGTGTTTTCCATTTAAATCCATAATTTAGTAGAAACTTACTTTCTTAAAAAAAATTTTAAAAGCATGACCAGGGAGCTGATCATTAAATAAATCTCTATTCTTAATACAAATTATTCTGTTCTGTCGGCTCCGCGATGAATCCAGCGTGGCAATCACCACCTCCGTGAGCCTTCCCTCTGTTACCTAGCAAGGCGGGGCTTTACAAATGCCGTGCAAATTTGAGGTTTTCTAAGGTTTTTCACAAAGACAGCAAAGACATGTGCTGTGCAAATAACCTAAAACTTGTTTCATTCTTCCTTCTTTAATAGAATATAAAATCTCGGCCATTTTTGATTGCCAAATGACAGGCGCGGTTTCTCTTCCCCGGCGCAGCGGGACTCCTGCTTTGCAGCGATCATCTTGCTTCGACAAAGGTCTAATCAGTGTCTCATGTTTCTCCTAGGAATGGGCTGCTTCTGGGGAGCCGAGAGGAAATTCTGGACCCTAAAAGGAGTCTATTCAACTCAAGTTGGTTTTGCTGGAGGCTACACTGCCAACCCTACTTATAAAGAAGTGTGCTCAGGTAGGAAGAATTTGCTCAGTAGAGCTACTGGGAGGACAAGGAAGGACTTGTCCCTGCTGCCAGGAGCCCCAGGATCTTTGGAATGGAAATAGAACTTTCTGTGCCCCCTTAGGCTTCTCTTTTTCATTTATGTAAATATACTTGTTGGCCGAATTTTTAGAAGATAATAAGCTTCCCAAGGAATGTGTCCTTTAGCTTTTGCTTCAGAACAATCACCCCTAAACTTAATCACTAAAACAGTTGTTTATCTGCTATGGGTCTGTAGATCAGCCACTTACGCTGGCCTCACCTTGGCGGTTCTTTTGCTGGTCTTGTTGGGCTCAGGTACTCCAGACAGCTGGGAGCCAGATGTTCTAGAATGGCTTGACTCATGCTGGGCAGTTGGTTGTTGGATAATGCTTGCTGTTGGCTGGGATGCTGGGGATGAGGAGCCACGTGTCTGCAGCACACTGACCTAGGCCAGTGTGCACCATGGCGGATGCAGAGACCCCAGGACCAGCAGCAGAGGTCAAGATCCATTCTGCTCAAGCCTTTCTAGTCTCTGTCTGTGTCTTACTACTGTCCTCCTGGCCAGAGCAAGTCATATGGTCTGGTCCAGAGTCAATGTGGACTCTCCAATGACAGATGTCTAGGGAGGTGTGAAGAAACTGGGACCATTCCTGTAACAGTCTGCCCTGTGGGACAAGTGTGTCATGCACCAAACTATTTTCTTGAGAGAAACACATTAAGATCTGGGCTATAATGAAGGGATTGGAACACTTTGGCCGCCAGGCTAAGTCCTACCCAGTACCTGCTTATGTAAATATAGTTTTATTCAAACACAGCTGTGCCCATTAATGTGTGATTTTCAGTGAATTCTCTCACGCTGCAGTGGTAGAGTCCATTGGTCACAAAGGAGACACTTGGGCCTGCAACATCTAAGTGCCCACCGTCTGCCCCTTCACAGAGAGGAATTTGCCTAGACCTCAGCCCGAGGTTTGCAGGGCAGGCGGGTGCATTTGCTGCCAGAGCAAATTCTAGCTTCAATATCAGACACCCTTTCTGATGTGTTTTTTGTTTCTGGGCTTCAAGGATTTCCTTTGCTTTGCTACCAGATCAGGTAGCATTTAAGATACACTTTTTTGTTTTCTTAAAAAAACTTTTTAAAAATAAAAAATATGTAAATTTGAGATATAATATAGTGTTTTGGTGTATATAGGCCAGGGTGACCACAGTCAAACTAATTCACTCTTCTATCTCTTTGATACTTTTTTTTTTTTTTTTTGGTGGGATCAAACCTGCAATCTGCTGGTGTAGTAAATTTCAAGTATAAGATACAGTCCTATTAATTATTGTCACCATAGTGGACATTAGATTTTGAGAAGTAGTTCATACCTCCCCACTCCCCCTCACCTGATACTCACCATTCTGCTCTCTGCTTCACTGATTTTGATTTTTTTAGATTCCACATGTAAGTGAGATCAGGCAACAGTTTCTTTTCTTTGTCTAATTTCACTTAGTATAATGTCCTCCAGTTTCATCCTCGTGGTGGTAAATGGCAGAATTTCCTTCACTTTTAAGGCTGCATAATAATCAGTTACACACACAAATACACACACAAACACACAATTTCTCTTCCCACTCATCCGTCGAGGACCTCTTGGGTCGCTGCCTTGGCTATTGTGAATCGTGCTGCAGTGAACATGGGTGCGGTAGCTCTTTGAGATCCTGTTTTTATTTCCTTTGCATGCATATCCAGAAGGAGGGTGTTGGATTGTATGATAGTTCTATTTTTAATTTTTTGAGGACCATCCAAACGGTAAAACACATTTTAAAAAGAATATTTTATTCACCATCTTAAGAACTCTTAATAAAGTTTATCTAGACATGTAGTCGACTATTGAAGGAATTTTAACAATACCAGAACAGTTTTCTCTCTTTGAGGAAAGACCTGAGTGGGTGTTGTGTGTGTCAGGCCTGGCAGTCACTGAGGGCATTGCATCGGGGTGGCTACTGGGCCCTGTGAGCTTGCGCAACAAGGAGCACCTCCATGTGCTTGCTACAGTGCAGATTTTGACTTTGAAATGAAATTTGAGCTATGCAACAATGAAAATATCACAAAAATAGGTACATTCTTATTTTTCTTGCCTCTGGAGGAGAATTGGAATATTCTGATCGTGTTGAGAATGTGGACAAGTGAACACTTTAATGGTTAATCCATTTTTCCATTGCTTCTGTTTCAAAATTAAACAAATGCTTATGCAGAGCTATAAATAGAGAGATTCACATGAACCCTAGAGATTGCCCAGGTGTATCCTCTTAAGTCTCAGGAATGGGAATGAAGAGATTCCTTCCTATAATTGCAGACATAGCTTAATAGCGTAAGAGAAAAGGGTGCTAAGAAAACCTCCAAATATCTACTGCCAGTCCTTTCTACCTCACGGCAAGATGGCAGCGTCACTTAGAGCCACGGCTGCTTGAGCGCCTGTGTTCCTTCAGCTTAGCTCTTCACCCTCACAGTGACTGCTGCCCTGTTGCAGTCCTACTATGTGCCACACTGTGATGAGCTCTTTTTGTGCCTTTGCTTTTTTCCCATCTAATCTTCAAGACAGAGAGTTGAGGCTCAGAGAGGCGATGTAACTTCCTGGGGCTGCCACCGCGGGAGCCCCATGCTCCATAGTGCTGGCTCCAAGGCCTGCCAAGGGTTCCCCATGACCAAGGTGCCGGCTGCCGGCTGTGTCACAGCGGCTTTTCTCCCATGGCGCAGACACACGTCCCTCCAAGCCGCGCATTCCCTTCCATGTCTGCCCCTGCTGGATTTTTCAATATGTTGATGTGCTTTCTAGTGATTACTGTAGGGAAAGCACCTAGCAATTTATTTTTTGGTCTTTCTGCTGCTTAGAAGGATAAAGGACAAAACCCTTTTCAGACACAGCGCGCGCACAGGGCGGCGTACGGGGCCTGCGGCAGTGGGAGTGCAGACGCCACGGGGCTGGCGAGGAATTCTCTGTTTGATGTGCACGCTACCTGCTAAGGCAGCGGTGGCATCGGCAGCGTGGTTGTCATGGAAACTCGGTCCTGATTGGAAAAAGATAGTTATAGAGCCTTACCCAGACACAGAAGGAGAGATGATTTCTTTCCCCAGGCTTTTTTTTTTTCCCCCCTCTGTTGTTCTGATCATGAAAGGGAAAAACAAAAAGGCAAGAGAAGCTGATAGAAGGTCCCTCTGGCCCAGAAGTGGTAGGGCCCTCAGATCCCTGGGAGTAGCGGGGAAAGAGAACAAACAAGGTCCCCTGCTAGAGTAATTATGGCAAGCAGCTAATTAAGGAGTTTTGACCAAGGAGAGGAGGGAGCCAGCAAGGAGGTTATACTGGCGAGGCCTCCCTGCTGAGGCCTTGGGTGCTCGAAGCCTTGTCCAACATGTGCAGCCTGGGGGGTCTGACTAGCGAAAGAGATAAACCCAGGCTCCACTGAGGTGGCTTATAACTGCTGAGGATTTTGTGTGAGGGAAATGCTAGTCTGTGTTCCATATTGGCATTAATTTCAAAATTGCTTATTCTCGTGATTGTAATAAAGTTTATAAGATGGTCCACGACCAGGGGGTGTTTGTAAGAACTTCCTTCCTTCTCCCCGTCCTTGCGGAGAGGCTTGGGTTGTGTGCCAGGGGCCACACACATTTGAGCGAAGGCACCATTTGACCTCTTGGGGCAGGTGCTGGAATGACAGGGTAGCTCTCAGGAGGGGTCTCAAACCCCACAGGGTTGCTTGACCACTCCCTGCCCCCATCTAGCAGGTGCTTTTGGATGCCAGCACTCCCAGGGCGCTGAGCCGGCACACAGCTGGGTGTTTACAAGACAGTGCAACACAACCACAGACTCTACTTTGCCATGCCTGTTTGTGAGTGGGTGTGCACAGCCTCAGGAGCTGAGTGAGCATGAGTGTATGTGTGAGTGTAAAAGCAGGTGTGTGTCCAGACAGGATGCATAGGAATCTCTGCCTCGATTTGTAAAAGCTGTTGATTCTGAAACCTGAGCTGGCCTGGGGAGCTGGTGTGTCCGAAGATGGGCTGCATCCAGCAGCAGCCAGGAGAGGTCACCCCACGGTGACTCACGGCTGAGTAGACTGACACGCGCGCAGAACACTTGTCAGTGGCTCTCCAGTAGGTCGGCTGCAGGCTGGGTGGCCTAACTGGACCGAGCCTGCACACATCAAAGACAGCAGGGGCAACCATCCCTCAAGAATTTGCAATGAAGTTGCCTCTGGGAGCACGAGGCTTAGACAAGCTGTGTCGCATCAGAGCAGGTGTGGCAGTCACTTAGAGAGAGCCAGCCTTCTGGGCCTGCAGGAATGAGGAGGAACCCGATGGATGCCTGGTGTGCTGAAAAGGAAAAAGACAGGACCTTGGTCAGGCCAGCCTGGGTGAGGGAATCCTGCTGGAGCCCTGTGGGTAGCCTTGGGAGGGCTGAGCTGTTGGGCAGACACCATGACCCCATGATGCCAGAGCCTGACACCATTATGTTTTTATCACTAACTCCTCTCGTCTGATCCAGGCTCTGTAGAAAGTTCTTTTGTGCTGCAGAGAAGAGTTACAGGAAGAAATTGCAATGAGAACAAACTGGTCAGCCAGACAGTTCTGATACTCATTCCAGATTCAATTCGATGCCAGCTGGGATGCAGCTCTCAGTCTATTATGAGTTTAGTCTGCATGGGTCATTCTATCCAAATTGATTTAACCTTGGGTTGAATTAAATGATAAAAATGGCTTTTTAGAGGAAGACTTTGGCCTTTAAAGCTGAGAGTCAAAGGCTAGATCATATGGGTGAGGACACTTGTTGCTTCCTTACATTTCCCCAGAAACGCATACTCCTTGCATGCCCACCCATTCACTTAAAGTTGTTTTAAATGTGAACATTTTCCTGTAACAGGCACTTAAACTTCCTTCCTGTGTCAGTTAACACAGAACCTGGACCTCAAAGGCTGGGAAACCGGCCTCGCCCAGGCCTGCCCACCCGGCTCCCGCC